GTCCTCTTTGTGCCATTGGCTCCTACATATCCAATAATCTCGTCTATCTTGTATTCTCCTGTATGTATATTCTTATATCCATCGTTAGTGCTATTGATATTGGCAACTACCGTCGACTGTTTGGAGTTTATTATATTGGTTAACTTGATATCGATTCGATCGGGCATTTGACCGTTAGGAGAGTACAGGAACCTGGGAACAAGATCATTGAAAATTAAAGTAGTTAGTGCACATTTTAAACATTTTTTTTTTAATATTTGACATACCTTGTACGACTAACTGCTGTTTCTATGTTCACTCCAGGAATGCTCATTGAATGCTGTCAACCAATCAATTATCAATAATTAAGGTAACTTCAACCAACCAACCAACCATGTATATATCACCAACCCACCAACCAAGCCACCAACCCACCAACCAACCAACCAACCAACCACCAAACCACCAACCAACCAACCGACCAACCATCTATCACGCAACTTATCCCTTCATTAATTTAATCAGTCATTCTTTTATCCGGTTTGTCATTCTTTCAATCAGTCAGTAATGATGTATTCTGTCGGACAGATTGTAAGTACCTGTGATAGCATCATTTTGCCATTCTTGTGTCCAATAATTACACTAACGACCTTCTTGTCCTTCAGGTCCAACTGAATCACGCTGTTTGAAATATTGCACTTAGCRCTAGTGACATTGAACMTACGAATACCRGACTGACCCTTAACCAACGAAGACCTCTGAAATATAAGACAATGGTTGAATGTTGTGTGACTACCGCGTGACATACATATATCGCGCGTGACATGGTCTTACCCCTCCATATCCAAGGTCAATTCTAAAGAACGACGCGGGATTGATACTGACGTCACAAGGCACAGTGTTCAGGAATTCGGTTGTTGTGTGACGAGCAGATGGGATACTGGGACCTTCACCGACTGTCTGTATAATGAACCAATCAAATGTGAGAATTCTGGTGATCACGTGAGATAGCAAATCAATCAATTACGAGGCCGTGTAACATTATAAAGCAAGGAGACAAACCTGGATTTTGATTTGCAAAAAGGCGCACATGACAAACGCTATAGCAGCAAGTCCAAGCCCACCAGTCATTCGTCTTAATGGACTGAAACGAAGTGATAGTTGCACCTTTAGAAATTGTACGTTAGCACTTTACTGTCGTTATAGAGCTTCCTGTGTAAAGTATTGATTGAGAGGGAACTAGTACCCCTCTTTGTCTAACGAAAGGGAACCCATAAGTGTCATAATACCTCATAGTTATTTGGCATCGTTCAAACAATGGGTAGATCACGGCGTCGTAGAGAGGAATGAGGATGAGGACGAGAATTGGATTTAGAGCCTGGGAACGAGATAACAACATTTTGATCGTAAGAGTTTTTTATTTATTTTTTTCATAAAAGAGCCCAGGATGTAGTGGAAGTAGTGTTGTGTTGAACTATGTAGCACTGTTATGCTGTTGTGTTGTACTGTGTTGTGTTGCTTTATGTTGCGTTGGGTTGCGTTGCGTTGCATTGCGTTGCGTTGTGTTGCTTGATGTTGCGTTGGGCTGGGTTGCGTTGCGTTGCGTTGTGTTGCTTGATGTTGCGTTGGGCTGGGTTGTGTTGCGTGGCGTGGCGTGGCGTGGCGTTGCGTTGGATTGCGTTGCGTTGCGTTGTGTTGCTTTATGTTGCGTTGGGTCGCGTTGCGTTGTGTTGCTATATGTTGCGTTGGGCTGCGTTGCGTTGTGTTGCTTGATGTTGCGTTGGGTTGCGTTGCGTTGCGTTGTGTTGCTTGATATTGCGTTGGGCTGGGTTGCGTTGCGTTGCTTTGCGCTGCGTTGCGTTGCATTGCGTTGCATTGCGTTGCATTGCGTTGCATTGCGTTGCATTGCGTTGCATTGCGTTGCGTTGCGTTGTGTTATGTTGTCATGAATAATCTCAACTTATTAAAGTACCTGTATCTGATCAGAGCGCAGTGTTCCAAGAGGACCCTGTGGAAATAGAATTTTACGGCATTTCCAATCATGAAGGACATATTGCAAGTATAATCTAAATCTCCGCTAGAAGTAATAATTTTAACCGATTACTGATCTACTAAAAGGAACCGTATGGTGCATAGGGGAAATCATAAAAAACAGATGAATGGACGACTGACTAAACGAATAAATGAGAAAAGAAAATATGTGAAAAATAAATTCTTACCAAATCCCCGTCCATTTGCTCTGCTTGCAAAGTCCAACTTGATCCCTGAAAATTCCAACACACTAATTCAATACATAAATCAACGGAAAAATGTGATTTGGTGACAAAGGGTTTAGAGAATGCGTGTCAAAATATGTCAATAATGATTGACAGGCGTTACATATAATATTGCGTCACATACCTGTTGATGAAAGAGAGCCCAGAAAACAGGTAACGGTATGTACATGACGAGAACTCGTAACAACATGCGCACATCGTGAACCTCTCGTTCCTTGAAAACGATCAACATGATTCTTATACAATTCAATTAAAAAATGGCGGGAAAGTCTTGAAATRATACCTCATAWGTGTCMAGGGCGTTGTCCAGCCAGTGGTTAGTGTTCGGCGGTCCGCTTCCAGAGAACTTGTTACCGAGGGCGTGCTTTTACAAGAGAATAACACAAATGATATGATTAACTTATTGTGCACATCGTTAGGATTCACTTAGGATTCACCATTGAAGTGGTGTATTAGGGTCGATCCGTCATACAATTTTTATTACCCCAATAATCTTGAAAACCTTGATGAAAACATTGCCTGCAGGATCTTTCAGCGTGTACCAGCTTTTTCCAGCAATGAATGCCACTAGAAATAAAACAATCATAAAAATCAGCATGAGATAAATCACATTTTTTCAATCATTCATTCATTCATTCATTTTTTCATTCGTTCGTTCATTCATTAAATTATCATTAGATTTACTTACAGAAGGCYACGATGATCATGACGGTGTTGATACCAAACACTGCCGGGTAACAATCCCGACCGTAACACTGTACATCGGCTGTGGAGGAACAAACAAACTGAGGCTGTTAAAAAACGTCATTCAYAGATATGACGGTGACATGACGTCATTATGCCACAAATATGACGTTTGCCACAATTATGACGTCATACGAAAAACATGACGTCACAATTCACGTTCCTATATTCAGCATATGAACTCACTTCTGACAATAGGAATGAAGTACATGCAAAGTACGGCTCCAACGTTGACTGATGCGTAAAACATGGCGAAGAACAAATCGAGAAGATGTTCCTGTTAACAAACGACATATATATATCTCTTGTTACTATAGATCTAACACATACGGGATGCTCTGTGATATAATGGATGAGGATCTAACCTGATCAGAGCGAAACTGATCKCCACCAAACGCAGCCAAACACGGCTTGATATTRCCGCAAGCAATGGCCATAAGAAACAGGCCAATCAGAGGACCGATCCTAAAACAACGAAMAATCAAAGAAAACATGATCGGAAAAAAGAACACTTGATCACAAATAGCAACGATTAGATGAAAGTACGTTTTGTTGAAATTAAAGGTCAAACAGTCATAGTTGAAAACACCAGCCTTAAGGTGTCCGGACAGGGCTGAGTATTTGGACAATAATGCACTTACGATGACCGTTGGCCAATGGTGTCCGCAGCAGTAACGGTCAGCAGTATCTCGGCCAAGGAATAAACAAAGAGAGTGTAAGCAATAGTCCTGTGAATGACAAAAAAATATTGATTGAGACAGAGTATGATAAGACGAATTATTGGATGAGTCATAGAATGATAAGACGAATTATTGGATGAGTCATAGCATGATAAGACGAATTATTGGATGAGTCAGAGGATGATAAGACGAATTATTGGATGAGTCAGAGGATGATAAGACGAATTATTGGATGAGTCAGAGGATGATAAGACGAATTATTGGATGAGGAAGCCCCATCACATGCCATCACATAACAACATATAATCAATTACAACACCATCAGTAATCGTTGATAATTGATAATAATTAATATCAATCTCATTAAGAGTACTCACTTGTATTTCCCTAGGAAGCTATCGGCGATCATGGCACCAATGACACCAGTGAAGTAACTGGTCATGCTGAACGCGTGATAGATGGATTTTCCCTCGTCTTTGTTGAACATTAAATCTTTGGTCAGGTAGAGCACAAGAACGGCTGAGAAAAAAAGACCAATTACTCAAAAATCTGGCAAGAATCTTTAAGAAGAAAGAAAACAGCAAAAACGAATAAATTATTCTCCCTTTTCTCTCATTCACTTTTCTATTCCCATTTTATACATCAAGTGCACTAAGCCTCGCTTTCACGACTTACTTTTGATCCCGTAATAAGAAAAACGTTCGCCAAACTCGGTAACGAGAATCGGCCATGTTGCTCTTGGAAACTGACGAAACCATCTCTGTATATAGAGAAAACAAGCGTATTAGACTTAGCCTGTCAAGTTCTCAGTAGTCTTGCAATGCATCAAGGGAAGGAAGCCYAAAAGCTTCCCTTGATGCATTGCGAGCGAAAAAGAGAGAACTGGGAGCGATGCATAGCTTGTGTTACATTAGACAGAAATTCCGGATGTAACACAGAATAAGCGATGCATAGCTATGCTAAGTTGGATTGTCTACCTATTTGACCTTTGACAAGGACGTAAGATTTGATTAACAGGAAGAAAAAAAGTTTTAAGAGTTTTATCCTCACATTTGTTTTTTGACAGCAATTCCCAGTCTTCAATTCATCGTCTTTTGCTGAAAAGTGAAATTAGCTCATTAATATCGGTGAATTGTCTGATAATTTTCAATCAACTACAGATTGACGTTGATTATACCGAAATGACGCAATATAAACCAAAGATTAAGCTTCCGGGGGTTAAACAGGGTTATCAGTCACTCAGTCAATCATCAATAGCAGCATTTTAATGATTAAATTACAGCACAGGTATCCCAAAGTAGGACAAGCAAGGAGGAGTCTATAAGGAGCCTAATCACTCACTTAATTCCAAGTAATTCAATTAAATCAGGAAGGAAAGATTACATACTCCAATGACATCAGATTATCTATCAGGTTTAGAATATTGAAAATATCAAGTCCACTGTAAACAAAGACAAATAAGTGCAGCTTAATAATGTTTGCTCTCTGCGGGGGTGTAACTCTCGCAAATTTTGCATATTAATGAAGTGTCCGATTAAGACTCGGTTGTTAGTAAATGATCCTAACGATTGAACAATTTACATTGCTKTAAATTCAGTTGATTGCGAATACTCGATAAGTTTCGTTTTATGGATTCGTGAAACGTGTCCTCTGATTGGTTCAAAATGCGTGCCTCATTTCACTGATAAGCAAACGACCCTCTYCATGTTCAACAGCAAACTTTCGCACAATCAACTCTGCGTCAAACTCATTACCTGGGACTGTCGTGACTTTCGACATTTTGCGTTAACTGAAACAAAACCGCTTCTATAGGTTATACATAGGTAGAACACTCTGCAAGCCCAGCCAGCCGACACTCCTACACCAGGACTCAGTGACTACTCAAGAACAATGACAATGATTACCTCCGTACGTCGGTCTGTTAACGAGCATGCGCGGATGAAATTCAACTCATTTGTCCCGTTGCTATGGTGATTCCTTTAGGAATGGAAAGTTGACAAGGAAACATACGGAGTGCAAGGTTACCAAATAAAAAAGTGTGCAACTAAATAAGGAAGTCCGTTGCTCATTTGCGTCGTTTTGGTATTAGTGCACGACGCGGCGTATCGTAACCATATCAGTTTCTTTATTCTTTCGATAAAAGCATTTGAAATCCCTGCTGTATCATACGGGTATCACATCGTCATACTCAAGTTTCTTTACGAAAATGACGACAAGGAAGTAAACTTATCGAAACTTTATTCCATAGAGGAATGACACATGAAAGAATTGTTTGACATGGATTACTATACCAAATTCTCATCAAAGGTCTCGCAAAAATGAAGAAAATATTTTGAATTAGTTTCAAACAAACATT